TAAATTTAGTCAGCTACTGAATATCGAAATAAATATTTTAATTGATAGTTGGTAATAAAATATTACTATATAATATACGCTTTGATATATTTCTATTGTGTGAAGGTTTTTTGTTAGTAAATTTATTCCTAGATTTTAATGTAACTGTATTATTAACATTAGTAAACAATGAGCTATATCTGCTGAATATCACAATGAATATTTTATTTCCAATATTTTATATATTATAATATTTATTCGCGTATTATTATTGATGAAAATTAATTCACGCGTTAAATATTTATTATAACGAGTATTTTATACATCTTTTTTTAACTTTATTTTTCACTTTATTTTTTTAACTTTATTTTACCGCCAATTTCATTCTGTTCATTTTTTCGCATTAAATAATTTCCACACAGTTTGATGAAAGAATGAATTACATCTCGAAATGGCAACAACCGTAAACTTTAAATAATTGCCAATCCATGAAAAAAAAACAATATTTAAATGAATCATTACGAACTACCAATTTTCCTATCAATTTTTATCCAAACCCGGATACGGAGGGAAAAAAGGATACGACAAAATGCACAAAACGAAATAGAAAAAAAAAAAAAAAAAATAGAACGAGATAAAGAGATATAAATGAAAACGTTCACAATTATTTTGCATATTTTTTATAAAACGAAAAACAAAAAAAAATTCCGTTTAAATTTTCCACGTCGCGAGATCGAGTTAAATCACTGCACACCATCGGCCATCATCGCGTGCACTTGTGCAATAAACCAAAAACAATTGGCAGATTAGAATTCGCCAGATTCACGTGACCCTGGCACGTCGTCGAGCTCATTGATTTCAAGATGGAATCAGATAAATAATGGACTATTACTTTCACGCCTGACCACACATAAACCATAAATTAACCCGTACACTGGGGGAGAAGGGGGGTCAAATTGTTCTCAACTCCTTTCGTTACGGTATCCTCAAGGCAAAGATTATTTTTTGGTATAAGGATGTGATGATGATGATTATTATTATTATTATTATTATTATTATTATTATAAAATAAAAATTGAGTGACATATAAAACAATTGCTCTTTTCTTTTAGGATTTGAAAGATTCGTGAAACGAATTGTGGATCGTTGAAGAGGAAATTTATCTCGATTATTTCGTTACAATATGTTCTAGTGGCTAAGATATTTTTTAGTATAAAGATTTTTAATTTTTAATTTAATAAGCAATTGTACTTTTCGATAATTAAAAATTTGTAATTAATATAATTAAACAAAAAAAATATATATACACAAAAATGAAAGTATTATTTCTATTTAAGAGTACATTTGAGAGTTAAAAAGAGTTGTTTTTCGCTATCTAAATAAAAGTTCGTATCGAACGCTACTCCTCCTCTCTATGCATTGTCCAATAAAATGAAAATTTGAAAATTTTTCGATTGATCCGCACTCTTAGGCTATTAGGATTTAATTAAAAAAAAAAAAAAAAAGAATAGAATTTCTAAAAGTTCGAAAAGTATTTTAATATTATTTTTTCAATCTTCGTTACTTTCATAATATATTAAGAAACGTATTAAGAATAATTTATCTGAAAATTCAGATAAATGGATCGTGCGAAGGAAAAATATTTAAAAAAATTACCATCAATATCAAAAGTCGAAAAAGATGGGGGGAAAAAATATATCCATGTGTTTTTCAATATTTATCTGATAAATATTTACTTCACACGCGCATAATAAATTTTACAATGAAAGAAATATAATTTAAATTCTTTAATTCTCGATAATTTCTAATATGATAATTTTTTTTTTGTAACAAATGTCTCTTTTCGATCTCGCGCCGAAATTTTGTTCCTCGAAATGATAAAAATCTTTTTATATGTACGCAACCCTTTGGCAAATAACTGTTCGATATTTGAGAATCGAAGCCGAAAGATTAAATTTTTCTATGCATCGTTATTCCGATTTTCCAAAAAGAAAAAAAAAAGAAAAAGAAAAAAAACGGATCAAAAGGGGGGCATCGCTATTTTTCACATTTTTGCAAAGTAAACAATTATTGCAAAAAGGATAAAAAATACCTGAAATGAAAAGTATATTTAGCACGTTCAACATTTACGAATATTATGACTCGAATTCACGACTCGAGATTACCAACAAATTGCTCGACGCATTTGTTGAAAAATTCTTTCTTATAATAATAAAAAAAAAAAAATAAAATAATAGAAAAAAGTAAGAAAGAAAGAAAAAGAAGATACATATACGCGTATAAGCCGCTTCGTTTTTCCAAACAATTTGAAAAGCTGGATGCGCGTTTATAAAAGCTTCGAACGAATATTCTGGATTATTTTTCAATCGCGAAATATTCGGGGAAAAAATAGTGATTTAACAAGTGAAGACGAGCAATGAAAAATAATTCCCCGATTTATTTTATCGAAAATCTCGAAAGAAATTAATTGGATAAAATTTTAATCATCGATTAAAATTCGATTTAAAAAAAAAAAATGAAGATTTAAATGATATTAGTTAAATATTAGTTGTTAAAAAAATTTGACAAACACTCACTTGAAGAAGTAAGTATCGTTGACGTAGCCGAAGAAGGGGACGGTGTACGTCAACATCCAAATATTTCCACCCCCGCAATCGTAGTAAGGTTTCGACCATCTTCCATCCTCGTATCTCACTGTCAATATCTCGTCCTCCTCCCGTTCCGTGTGCGTCGTTTCGTTCAACGTGTACGTGTGAAAACCTGCGAAAAAAACGAAAGAATCCCTTGTCTTCACCATACGAAATCACTATTAACAATAATATTTTTTTATTTTATTATTTTATTTCATTATATCAACAATAATTATTTTTTCTCATCAACTGTTAGAATATTATATATCATAACCTGATATCCTTACATCGATTAATCAATTATAATCACCTATAGTCATCAGCAATGATCGACTATCGAGTTAAATATCCATTTATTGACAATATTTCCATTATTCTACGACAATTATATCCGATTCATAATAATAAAATTGTGGTTTTCGCGGGGTACAAGGAAGATCATAGATAGAAGAATCGAAGGGAAATACACTTGGGGCGCAAACACGGTCTAAAGTATATAAAAACAGGACGAAATTGGATGGGAAACGGATGCGAGTCCCTCGGGTTACGAAGGACACCATCTACTTTCGAGCCACTCTGTATGTTATTCGACAAGGAGGGAACGTATCGGGAATTTGTCTTGGAAAATTGCGTTTCGTAGGAATAAAAATCCTTGTGAATCGGGGAAGATTCTTCTTCCATTCTATCCGTGAAACGTTGGAAACCCTCTCGATTCTATATCGCGCGATCGTTATTTATTCCGCCACGTCCTCCATCATCGCCATTTTATACTCGTCCGAACCCTGTTTCCACCGGAATTTCCTGTTTAAATCTTGGATATGTATCCTCTCTCGCGCGGAGAACAACAGACGAATGTGAGAACGTTCGAAAATATTATCTCGCGCGGGGATTTAAACGAGGAGTAAACAAGGGCGGGAAATTTTCTGTCTGATGAAGGATTCATGAATAATAAAATTTTATTCGATCGATCGTAATCAAGCGATGATTCTAATTTGAAAAATAAAAGAAAATGATCCTAAAATCCACAACTTTTGACAAAATATTTTTCAATATCCGACAATGTCGCGATTAAATTATGCAGTCATAATAATCACTTTAAATTATAAATTAAATAATTTAATGATATTATTATAATGATAATGATATTATAATTTAATTAAATAATTTAATGATAATCTCTGAAACAGTTATTGAAACAGAACTAAAGCAGTTAATACAAAGTTAATACATTAGAAATCCTTTATTTTTCTAGATTTTATTAGATTCAAAAATTCAAGACATTCGAAAATGATGCAGAAAAGACAGAAATTATAGAAATAGTAACGCTTCGGATTCTTTCTGTGAACGATTTGATTTAAGGTCTGCTTGAAATTACCTTAACGATTCTTCTAAATGTGAAAATATTATGTTGCGAAGAACTAGCTCTTCATTTCCAATGATAGCGATTTGATTTAAAATCTGCTGTATCTCGATGATTCATGAAAGCAAGTGAAAATTTGAAAATATTGCATTGCATGCGAAGGACTATCGAACGATTCTTTCTGTGATTTATTCTAATGATTCTTCCATAAAAATTTGAAAATATTATATGTGAAGAAGGACTATCTCTTTATTTCCAATGATAGCGATTTGATTTAAAGTCTGCTTTATTCCAATGATTCATGAGAACAAATGAAAATTTGAATTTTTTCTGTGAATGATAGTGATTTATTCTAATGATTCTTCCATGAGAGCAAATGAAAATTTGAAAATATTGCATTGCACGCGAAGAAGGATTATCTCTTTGTTTCGTGTATGCGAGAGGATCGATGTTTGAAATTTTATTTGATCGATTGTAAGGATTGAGATTCTTTCTGTGAATGATAGCGATTTGATTTAAAATCTGCTCTAAAGCGTCTTTTATCGATGATTCTCTCGCGAGTGGAAGGAATAATAGGTTGAATGGGGCATTCGAAGTGGAAATCATTTCATAGAAATTTAAGAAAGAGACTTTCTGTCGCGATGTCGTTTCCGTATGAAAGGATTCGATCGACGAGGAATTTTATTAAATCAACTATAACGATTGCGATCTGATTTAAAGTCTGCTCTATGCCATTCTTTTATCGATTCTCTCGCGAGAAAAAGCAAAAAAATAGTTGCAGATGAACGTTCCAGATATTCGAAAAATGTCATTTCGCTGAGAATTAAAGGAAGTAATATCCGTTTCAATGTGACAAGATTCAATCAGATGGAATTTTATCAAATCAATTTTTATTAACAATAAATCGTTGAGTTTTTTTTTTTTTCTATAACGATAATGGTTTAATTAAAAATCTGTTCTAAACTATTCTTTATTGATGATTCACAAGCTCGGTTACATTAAAAAGTTTCAAGAGTTCCAAGATAATTAAACAAGAACGATTCATCATATTAAGAGGAAATAATCTAGCCATACTTTGTGAATAATATATTCTTTTGAATTTATAATTTTAGTGAGAAATATAGTTGGTGGTGGAATTATGTTATTATAGAATTTAAGATTTAACACAAAATATAAATAGAACAGCAAATCTTTAAGAATTCAAGAGATAATTAAGAATAGCTCCTCCTTTCATAAATAACACATATTTATCAATATGCAATATCTAAAAATAAATATTTGATATTTGTACAACAAGTATTAATATTGCAATAATATTGTACTAATATTGATGCAGATTATAGATAAGATATGATGTAGATATAGGTACATAGATAACAATGTATATATAGATATAATTTCATAGTTAATATACAATATAAATATACTTATATAGATATTAAACATTAATTAATACACTATCAATATTCTATATATAGCCATGATGTCTTAAATATCCATTTTATAACTAAGTTTTAAACTTTAAGAAATTTTGTCTAACGAGAATATATATTACAATAATTTATAATGTATTATTAAATATGTATTATAATTTTACCATTTTAAATTTTTTCAATATTCTAACAATGTTCAAAAAGAAATTTAGAATTGACAAATAACATCTCAATATCAACAATTTAAATTAACAAATAACCATAAAATATTTCTTAAAAGATCCCTTTTTTAGAGATCTATTTTGACATCTAACAATGCTCAAAGAGAAATTCTTAGGAACTCAATAGGAATAGTTATCAAATATCATCTCAAAGATTAAAAAAATCTCTTCAATAACAATCAACATAGAGCATCTTTGCATCTACTTTACTCATCTCTGATATTCATAACTTGATAATATTCAAAAAGAAATTCAGAATTACCGAATATTCTGAAAGATTACAATACAAAATAGAATATACACCATTCGTGAATCCATTTTTCCATTTTAAACATTCCCGATATTCTAATAATATTAAAAAAAGAAAGACTTAAGTCACGTTATATTAATACTCTACTTCATTATCGAGCACATTCTTCGAATCAAAGAGGCAAATTACACTAAAAGTACATAAGACATCTTTCTCCACTACCATAAGTTCAACTGACAGTAAATTGTTACTCAATAAAGGTTAAAGTCGGCGAAGAAGCAAGAGAGGCCAAGTTACATCCTCGCTCGCGGAGAGAAATGAGGGCGCAGGAGTCGGGCGGATATAGGGAAGCTGCAATAAAGCGCAGTGATCATAGTTAGCCCATAGGAGTGGGGAACGAGGATAGGTTAGGATGTGAAGTTATCGGCGGAGTAAAACGGGCCGAACGAATGGAGACAGTTCCGTCGATGTACCGGTGCAAATAACGTTTCTCGCATTCCCGGATATGGGGTGAACCCGATAAAGCCGGGGCAATTTCTTCTGGGACGGAAGCCCACGGCAAATAAGAACGTTATCGGGTGGACAGAGGAGGAAACGAAAGCGGCTAAAGAAACAACAGCCTCGACCAACCTTATTTCCGTCATCTATCCTTCGTTTCCTTTTTTAATCACCTCTTACGACTTTCCCTTTTTTTCCTTTTTTTCTTTTCCTTATAGTTATAATTCCTTTAATAATTGTTGATTCGAACGTTCGGATGTAATTATTCGTTTCTGGATCATTTTTAAATTTCGTTAGATATTTTATTTTTTTTTTTTTTTGGAGATAATTATTTAATTATTTCTGGATGTAATTTTAAGAAAAATTTGAAGTAAGTAAAATTGTAGCTTTATTAAATAATAATCATTTTGATTGTAATTCATCTAAACATTTCTAATATTTGAAGGATATTAGAAGATGAAAATTTTAAATACGAAGTAATCGAAGATCAATTAAATTTATTTTAATTACTAATATTATTTATCTTACAATTAATACATAAATGTGTAATCAATATCTAAAAGTGTGTAATCAATATCGCACGCTAAAACATGTCAAAGATCAAGTATGTATATTTCAATTTAATTACTGATTTTTTAATATCATTATAATGATATTATTATATAAAAATGATATTATTCTTAATATAATATTTATATCATATTATGTAACGTAATATAAATATTTCGTTAGAAGGAACTGGCGCATTATTTTTTATCGGAATCTCTCTATACGAGTTATTATCCTCCGGGTGAAAAGGAAAAACGAGCACGACAAGCCGCCTCATTGTTTCCCATCTCCGAGAAATCCGAGAGACAGCTCAGAACTGTTAATTAATTCCTTCGTCGAGAATATCTCGCTTGTTCTATAACATTTGTTAATATTTCTTCTTGTTGTGGAAAACAAATATCGTGCCTCATAATTATGCAATTTACGATGAAGCAACGAAAGAAGCAAAATCTTCTTTATATCGAAAACGTTCGGGCGAAATAATCCGCGAAATAAACGAACGAACTTATACACTCCGTTCCGAAAACATCTCGAGCCATTTATATTATTTCACGATCGAGAAAAATCTAAATCGATTGAAGACACGTATTTAACGAAATAAAAATTGGGTCAACGTTAACGTAACTCTAAACACGCGGGTATCCCGATGAAAAACTTTATACACGGCCATTCGATACTCGAACAAGTTATTCATAAAGTATATAGTATATCCAGATGTTGCGGATTGTCGTTAAATTGCAAATTTTCGAGAACACCAAAATACCTTGGGAGCGTTAAAACGGAACTATAACCATTGAAAATATACGTTGACCTAAAAAT